ATATAAAGAATGTACACGAAAAAAACTGGTCGCACATAACCAAGCATAGCTCGGTTAATCATAACATTAAAATAAAAATCGGTAGACACTTAAAAAGCTGGAAGCATTTTCCACCTTACTGCATCATTTCTTTTTAGTAACAAAAATCAGTGTAGAAACGAGGACCAAGAAAAAATCGATCGCGAGTTAATATTGCGCAAAAAGCTGGAAAATCCCAGCATGTTCCATAACGACATCGCAAAAAAGCTAAAATTTCCAAAGTCTACCGTTACTTATGTGCTTAAAAAGTACAATGAATGTTTATCTTTAAAAAGGAACCCTGGTAGTGGCAGAAAAAAAGGATTTGCTTGCGAAATTAAGGCAAAGGAAGTGTTATCTGTTTTTAAGGATAATCCTGGACTTTCGGTAAGAGATGTCGGCAAAAAATTAAACATGTCGTCTTCGTATATACAAAAAGTATGCAAAACAGCAGGACTACGTTCTTACAAAGTGAATGCAGCACCTAATCGCAACGGTAAGCAAAATTTGTTGGCGAAACAACGTGCTCGGAAATTGTACGACAGTCTCATACAAAAATTTGGCTGTATTGTTATGGATGACGAATCGTACGTAAAAGCCGATTTTAAACAAATCCGGGGCCGCGAATTTCACACTGCAAATAAAAGAGGCAATGTTGCAGATAAATATAAAAACAAAAAGTTTGACAAATTTCCCAAAAAGTTTCTCATTTGGCAGGCAATTTGCCAATGCGGCTTCAAAAGTGATCCTTTTGTAAGCACTGGTACAATTAACCAAGAAATTTATGTTAAGGAGTGTCTGCAAAAGCGACTTTTACCTCTTATACGGCTTCATAAAGATCCAGTGCTTTTTTGGCCTGATCTCGCGATATGTCATTACGGAAAAATGGCTTTAGGATGGTAACATAGAAACAAAGTGTATTTTGTAGCAAAAGAGGTGAATCCACCTAATTGTCCAGAGCATCGGCCGATCGAAACCTACTGGGCCGTTATGAAATCCAAACTTCTTAAGACCCACAAAGCTGTAAAAAACGCACAACAATTCAAAAATAAATGGCAGCTGGTTTCCAAGGAAATCACTGAAACTTCTGTGCAAGGGCTAATGAAGGACATAAAGTCAAAATTGCGATCGTTTGCTTATTACAAGGAGAATTAACTCTTTTTTAACGAATTTCAATAAAACTAAGTTTAGATGTAAATATATGTAAATATCGTTGAATTCCATTAATATATTTATGTTTTAGAACGTTTTAACTGTGACCAGTTTTTTTTCGTGTACATTCTTTATACACATTTGGTGTTGCCTTTTTTAAGATATTTGCCTTTTTTGCCTATTGTACCTTTATAAAAGTGATTATAGCGACGAAAACCCCTTATTCCTGATAATATAAAAGTTCCAAACGTTCCTTATTTAAATTGGGCGCGACATGTATCAACTCATGTCGAGCGCACGTTTAGTAGATTCAAGGCAGAGTTAAAACCTGTTCTGTTACAAAAAAATCAAGTTGATAATGAAGAAAATCAATGGATAAATAAAGAAGTAATAAGTGGTCATATGAAAATGCGCAAAGATTTTTTTTAATGAAAAATTAGCATGAAAGAATGTCACTCATACGCCATGTACACCTGAAAATATCTCGAAAACTTATCCATAGAATAGAAAAGTAACTAGATTTTCGGAATCGGCGAGCAATTTGCAAAGTTTTCCTGTAAACCAGTGCTATTTTTTAGTTTTTGTCTTTTTAGTACCTTTTGCCTTTTTTGCTATTTCTACTGTCTTTTCCTGCCTATTTCGCTTTTTTATTTTGCCTTTTTTTTAGGTTTTTAAGTCCTAAAAGTCCTTCTTTTTTGGCGCTGTAACCACCTAAGCGATTTTGGCCGAGTTCAGCAAAGCACGCTAGTCGTTTCTCCTCTGTGCCAACTGGCGCCAATTGGAAACGCCAAGTCCTTCTCCACCTGATCTTTCCATCGCAGTGGGGGCCTCCCTCTTCCTCTGCTACCACCAGCGGGTTCNCGAGCGACATGGCCAAGCCAGTGGAGCCGCTCTATTTTAATTCGCTGCACTATGTCTATGTCGTTGTAAAGCTCATACATCTCATCGTTCCATCGTCTGCGGTACTCGCCGTCGCCAGCGCGTAAAAGCAAGGCAAGCAATGTCGGGGGCCTTGCGACGTCGACTACAGCTGCCATGTAAAGGGACGCTAATTCGGAGTTGGATTTGTGGTGGGAGAGAGACTCCGTCGCTGAGTACTGTCGTTCATCCCGGTGGACGAGCGTCTAGCCACAATCCGCATCAAAGCGAGATTTTTCAACATCTCGCTCATCTGCGCCCATGCCCCGACGGAAGAGAAGGATGAGGTATCCAAGGATCTCTTCTATGAGCGCTTGGAGTGCACGTACGAGCGCTGCCCCCGTCATGATATCAAAATCATGCTTGGCGACTTCAATGCCTGGGTGGGCAAGGAAGGGATCTTTGGAACCACCGTCGGAAAATTCAGCCTCCACGACGAAACGTCCGACAACGGATTGAGGCTGATCGACTTCGCCGGGCCCGAAACATGGTAGTATTCAGTCGTAGGTTCAAGCATAAAAAGATCCATCAAGCTACGTGGCTGTCTCCGGATCGAAAAACGATAAATCGATCATGTTGTGATAGACGGAAGGCACGCTTCCAGTGTTTCAGACGTACGCACACTCCGAGGGCCAAACATCGACTCGGACCACTATCTTGTTGCAGCCAAGATACGCACCCGCCTCTGTGCAGCAAAAAATG